TTGAGACAGCTGCAGCAGATGTCCAGTTCTGGGCACCACAATTTAAGAAGGATATTGACAACCTGGAATGTGCGCATAGGAGAGCGACCAACATGATCAAGGGTCTGGAAACCAAGCCTTCTGAGGAATGGTTGAGAGAACTGAGTATGCTTAGCCTGGATAAGAGGAGACTGAGAAGAGATATGATAGCCACCTTGCAATATCTAAAGGGCTGTCACATAGAGGGCAGGGCAAACTTGTTTTCTCCTGCTCCAGAGGCTAGGACCTGAATGAATGGCTTCAAGTTACAAGAAAGGGGAGTCTGACTTAACATCAGGAAGACCTTTCTGACAGTAAGAGCTTTTCAATAGACTCCCATGAGAGGTGGTGGACTCTCCTTCCTTGGAGATATTGCAGAGCAGAGGTTGAATGGCCACCTGTCATGTATGATCTAGTTGAGATTTCTGCATTGCAGGGCGCTGGACTTGATGGTGCTAGGGGCACCTTCCATAGAATCAAACAATTCTATGATTCTTTGTGATTTAAACAGAATTATATGAGATCTCATCAGAGTGGGGATGAAGAGTGTGCTTGGATGACATGTGTGCCCACCTGCTCAGGCTGTTGTCTGTTGATGGATAACTTCAAGGCCTCTGCCCTCCCTTCTGACAGTTCTTCATCTTTAAACTAATTTTGCCCTAGGTAGTCCTTCAAACAGGGGATACATTCAAACAGAGGAATGCTCTCTGACATACCCCTGTAAAGCAGGACACATGGACACTTTATTTCCAAGGGATATATTCCTGTGTAGTTAAGCTATCCAACAAGTTGTTCCCTTGCGATGTTCGTATGGGTTTATGCCTGATTTCCTGTGTTGATCTGATAAAAGTAACCTGAACCAACTTCATGTGAGCAAAAAGGGAACGTGCACTTTAAGCCTCCAGTTTCTAGAGAAAACTGCCTGCCTTACCCACATTCGTGTTTTCAACACTATATCCCTTACTTGGAATACTGTGATTTTAAGGTGAGGCTGTGCTGTCGGGGTTTTTTTTTTAATGGGTTGGGATGGGCGGGGGCAGGGGGAGAAAACAGAATGTTTCTATATGTCCCTGCCATTGTTCTTCTCTAGCTGCTTCTTAGACAGATTTCTGTCAAGCTGGCAATGTACAACAAGAATATATTTATTTACAGAAGCAATAGTGTCTGTAATTGGAAAGGGTATTGCCCCTTTATTAGAGTGATAAAAAAATCTGCAGAACAAAAGTTATTGGAAAGAACCCAAACGTAAAGGATGTACGGCTTCACAACCGCCCCCTTTTGTTCTTGCACCCACTTATAGCTGCTGTTTTTTTTAAAATGGAACTGAAGGCAAAGCAAATGGACTTTTGCCAGCGCACAGTATCTTTCCAAGTAGATCTGAAGAAACTTTAGTTGATCCAATTGAATAGCGTTGCAATTAGGGCAATAGAATTCTCTCTCAGATCTGCAAAATTGAAACTGCAGAATGTATAAATTGGGGGGGGGGGTTGCATTGTTGCAAAGTTCATTCACACTTTCTCAAATAAGCTGTGTATTTAACCTTCTTCCCTGATGTGTATATGCTGACAATATTAGCCTGTAATAAAAAAAAGGTATGTCTGTACATACATATTGGACATCTCAATCCCATTAATTGAACTGGGCATTACATGCATGTAATAGGTGTGATTACATCTTGAGAAATACTAGGATTTTGATTCTTTTTATTTTTCAAGTAAGGTTTGTTCACTTCGTTCCCTTTTTACCTTCATTCTGTGTCCTGAATATTCCTGATCAGATGCAGAAATTGACTAAGGGATCTCCAATGTCTGCCTCTTACCTTTTTTATATATTTGCCCTCTGCCTAGCAGGTTGATTGTGTTTTTTAGAGACCACTTACACATGCCAAACCTCTCTGCTAGTGATATACTTCACTACGCCTCTTTCTTACAATGCAAATATTTCTGTGCAATGCAGATCTTATTTTTCCAAATACACAAGATGTTGATATACGGCCAAGAAGAGAAGATGGATTTTTAGATATAATACCATAAGTGCTGAAAAGTTCCCCTCTCCCCAAGCTGATTTAACATGGGAAATTGCCAGGTAGATTAATTTTATAGGCTGACTTTATGGGTGTAACATTTCTAGACGAGAAAGCTATGCTTATGAATTTTAGTTTTGTCTGATATCATGGGCATCTTTTTTTATTACCTCAAAGTTAAAATTTAATTACCTCCCTCATTCTTCTGATTCTTTGCTCCATTTTTTTGATCTAATGGGTTGGAATATATGTTCTTTTATTTTCGTTGCTTATTTTTTTTTTACACTTGATACAAACAAATCAATACTTTTAAGACAGTCACTATAATTTACACTAAGGAATTAAAAGGTTAGTTCCTTCTTCAAGTGGAACATATAGATGAAGCAACTAACATACATCAGCAACTAACTTTCGGCATGATTTGCCTTAATTCACAAAAGCTGTTTTCAGCTGACTTATTTGTGCTACATGATCCTAACCTAACACTGAACTTACGATGAAATCCTTCTGCAGGTAAGACTCAGAATAGCAACATGGGGGGGGGGGGGGAGAGCCTGTCTTTTCATAATGCATTGTGAGTAGCATGCATGCTTATACTGAAGATGTCATAAAAGCAAGCGTGTTTAGCTATGTTTCTACATTATCCTTAATATGGATTCACAACACACGCCATAGGAGGTGTGTGTGCTGAATGCCTATGAACAATAGTACACATTTGTGTATTATTCACTCTTCTGTATTTCTGAAACATTCTCTCGAATGCATAGCAGCCCCTCATGAAAAGTAGCTTTTATGGATGTGTTTAGGTTGCATTTTAAATCTCAGCGCTTCAGTCATTTGCTGTTTTGTTTTCTTTGACAGGACTGCAGGAACCTAGCCTGTACTGTGAACCAATCGCATACAAAATTGCTTTTTTTAAAGAGTGGAAGTGTTTTCTCCCCCTTCCTTAATTCAAGGTAAGAGCAGGAGGAGGAAAGAAAGTACCCAACAAACAAATCCTTTTATAAAAAAAAGAATATGGTGATGTTTGAAAAAAGAAAACACAACTAGGCATGTCTCTTATCTCAGATTTTGATTGCTCGGTTTTATGCCTTGAAGAATCCAGTCCTTTTCCAAATACCGATAAAAGTCTGGGGTATGACTTTGCTCTCTGTTGCAATAAAGACATGCTCTGGCACTAGAGATGGGCAAATCTTTCACTTTCTCAATTTTCCAATCTTAAGTTCAGTTCTCAATGTTTCCACATCAGTTTGCAGTGTTGTGTGTGGTTTTTTTTAAATCCATGAAAATCCATGTGTTCTAGTGAAGATTCCTCCTAATACACACATTCTTGTATGTACTTTGCCCAAAATGCACATTTTCTGCAAAAGATTTCCCCTAATATGTACAATGCCTCCTTTTATGCTATTTACACTAATATATGCTTTTATTGCTCGCTTTACCCTGGTATATGCATTTTTGTACACATTTCTTGGCTGGAAAACTGCATTTCAAAATTCAGAGGAGTGCGGATTTCGAAGGTGGCTGTGTTTCATTTTGCTTGTTGATTTGGAAAATGTGAATTAGCTAGGTTCGCCTTCAAGTGCAAACCAAATCAAATTTCTCCCCCTTCCCTGGTGGAATGAGGATTTCCTGAATAGGAATCATGCTGGATAAATTAGGTAACCAGAAGTTCCAAGTGATTTATAGCATTTGAAATTCAAGGAGGGAGGGGTGCTTTTGTCCTTGTAAAAAAAACAACAGCCACAATTTATAGAATGAATAGAGAAATTAAGATACAAACAGCAGACATTAACTAATGACTTTTCTAAGGATCTCCGTGTGCCATCAATATAAGTTATTTCTGATTCTCCCTTTCCCTTTGGAAGATATGTTTAAGCATTCAAATTAATAAATATTTTTTTTAAAGAAAAAGAAGAAAAAAGTGTGCATCATTTCCCTATGCTCCTCATTGCTATAGTTGGAGTCAGAGTCAGCGCATTAGTCTGATTAAGCATTTGAGTATTCTTCCCTGGTTGTTAACATCTTTAACTATTTATATGGTGTGAGGAAAAAGGTGTCAAAGCAGGGTAAACCGAAGACTAGAGAGATGAAATGTATTGGCTATGACAACAGGAAATAATTGCTTCCCTACCCCCACCCCCACCCCAGCCGCCACCACCGCTGCCGCCCACCAAAAGGAGATCCTGGCACTGTTTGAGAATACAATTCAAATAACATCTTGTTTGCGACTTATTTAAGAACATTGCAATTAGTCCCTACGCTGCTCCACATATCAAGCCGGAGGAGTAGTTTAAAATCCAATAAGTATCATGTTACAGAATAACCTTTTTGCCGTTTGTCAGAGAACACATAGTCCATATTGGTGAGATATCTGCCAGAGAATCCTGTGCTATTTTGCCACCTTGATTGCAAACTAATAGCACCCCTTTCCCCCATGTTTCTCATGTCCAACTACATGCAGTGATACAAATGATGTCAGGTTTTTTTAAATAAAGACAACAACAACAACCATGGGGTTTTTTCACTTCAGGACACAAGGAGGGAAGCCTATCTTAGCCTTCCCAGCTGTGATGCCAATGAAAATCTTTCTGCCACCACACTGCTCTTAGCTTTAGAGAAAATGGGGCCTCCTGCTGCTGCTGCGCCGCCGGAGCATGATTTCTGTTCTCATCCTGAAGCAAAGTTCTTAACCTGAGGTACTATTTCTGGGTTAGCGGAGCCTGTAACCTGAAGCGTAGGTAACCTGAAGCGTAGGTAACCCGAGGTACCACTGTATGTGCACATAACCCAAGTTGACTTCTTAGAACTACTAAATGTGTACTTAAGTCCATTCATCTGATTTCACTTCAGGTCTTATGCTGAGTCAGACCATGGCAGTGCATGTAGCTCAGTGTTGTCTACATTGGTTTCCAGTGGCTCTCCATGGTTTCAAGGAGAAGAAATTCCCAGCCCTGCCTAAAGGTGCTGGGATTTGAACCTGGGGCTTTCTGCGTGCAAGGCGGATGTTCTACCACTGAGCTGTGACCCCTTGAATTCAAAAAAGAACTAGTAAACATGCCAGTGGTTACCCCTATGGAAATAACACCTTGTTTTTCTATAATAAGGAATGTGGAAGAGGTGTAGCTTTGCAAACATAAAAAGTGTTGTTTAGTCGCTTAGTTGTGTCTGACTCTTCGTGACCCCATGGACCAGAGCACGCCAGGCACTCCTGTCTTCCACTGCCTCCCGCAGTTTGGTCAAACTTATGTTGGTAGCTTCGAGAACACTGTCCAACCATCTCGTCCTCTGTCGTCCCCTTCTCCTTGTGCCCTCAATCTTTCCCAACATCAGGGTCTTTTCCAGGGAGTCTTCTCTTCTCATGAGGTGGCCAAAGTACTGGAGCCTCAGCTTTAGGATCTGTCCTTCCAGTGAGCACTCAGGGCTGATTTCCTTCAGAATGGATAGGTTTGATCTTCTTGCAGTCCATGGGACTCTCAAGAGTCTCCTCCAGCACCATAATTCAAAAGCATCAATTCTTCAGCGATCAGCCTTCTTGATGGTCCAGCTCTCACTTCCGTACATAACTACTGGGAAAACCATAGCTTGAACTATACAGAACTTTGTTGGCAACTTTGTTGGCAAGGAGAACAAATTCAGTCAGTTTGCACTTTCAAACACAATGCAAGAACTGAAACAAAAGCAACCTTTGAAATTTACCCTTCTCTGAATTTTGCAATGCTATTGTCCAGCAAATTAATGCATTTACTGGAGGAAAAAGTGCATAAAGATGTGTGCATTTTTGAAAATAACAAACCCGAAAGCATTTGAGGATAAATTGCTTTACAAAAAAATGTGTATATCAGGAGAAATTCACATTAAAATGCTGGCGAATTTCCATGATGCCCTCCCCCCCCCCCAAATGCATGATACTGGAATGTGGAGAACTGAATTTAAGAGCAGAAAAACAATAAATAGAAACTGAATTGCAGTTTCATCCACTCCTAGCATAGCCTGAGCTTCTCCTCCCTATGCATTTGTCAGATAGGTATGGAATCAGTTGTGTTTTCCTCTTTGAAAGAGAAGACATGGAAGTACTTATAAAGTAAATAAGCTTTAATTAAATGTCATTGTCTAGCATTAATCTTTATAGCTCTTTTCCCAATGGAACAAAGAGTGGATATTCCATTTGTTTTGATTATGGATGCATTTTAAAATAATTCGGGGCGGAGGGGGTTTAATGTGTTCTTGAAGATAGGGGACTATTTGAGCCAACCACTAACAGTTAAGAATATGACTCCACATTAATTTTGAATAACAATGTTGGTGATTTTTTTTATTACCTCCTATAGAGCATTGATAAATGTTTTGATAAAGCTCAATATAATGCATTATTTTATTTTATTTTGAAAGAGACCCCTGTCACAAAAAGACCGCTCTATATTTACTCAGCTTAAATTCGAGATTTCCCAATAATTCAGAACAGCAAGCAATTGGGGCTGAGCCAAATGCTTTAGCCCAGCCAGATTCCAGAAGTTTCGGGAAGGGAAACATCCCAAATGAGAGACAGACATTTCAGTGGGGAATGTAGGAAGTTGCCTTATACTGAGTCAGACTCTTGGTCCAGCTAACTCAGTACCACTAACACTGGCTGGCAGCAGCTCTGCAGAGTTTCAGACAGACAGAGATACTGGGGGTCGAAATGGGACCTTCTGCAGACAAAACAGATTCGTTAGCACTGAACTGTGGTCTTTCTTGGGAGAGGAGGACTTTAGGAGAAGGGAATTAGCTTATCACCCCCATCGTTCTGCCCAGACACTGAGGTCCAGTGCCGAGGGCCTTCTGGCAGTTCCCTAGCTGCAAGAAGCCAAGTTACAGGGGACCAGGCAGAGGGCCTTCTTGGTAGTGGTGCCCGCCCTGTGGAACGCCCTCCCACCAGATGTCAAAGAGAAAAACAACTACCAGACTTTTAGAAGACATCTGGAGGCAGCCCTGTTTAGGGAAGCTTTTAATAGACTATTGTATTTTAATATTCTGTTGGAAGCCGCCCAGAGTGGCTGGGGAAACCCAGCCAGATGGGGCAGGGTATAAATCATAAATTATTATTATTATTATTATTATTATTATTATTATTATTATTATATCAATATTACAAAGTGATTAGAGGACTTCTGTCCTCTTTGTAAAGCTAAATGTCACCCCAAGCAACTCACATTGCACACTTTCAAAATGGGACTGGAAAGATTTATGGAATGCAGCCTATGTGAGGAGCACTCTATGGGGGGGAAATTGTGGTTGCCCCAACCTCCCAAAGATATCACTGAATTCTTTTCTTCACACACTCTCACACAGAAACACATGCTGTAATAGGGGATGTGAGATCTTTGCATGTCCCTACAAATATTTATTTACCATGTGAAAGAGGCTGAAAAGCACTTCCATTTCCAAACAAGACATTTCTCAATCATCTACAGTGGTACCTCGGGTTAAGTACTTAATTCGTTCCAGAGGCCTGTACTTAACCTGAAACTGTTCTTAACCTGAAGCACCACTTTAGGTAATGGGGTCTCCCGGAGGGCGATTTCGGTTCTCATCGTGAAGCAAAGTTCTTAACCCGAGGTACTATTTCTGGGTTAGTGGAGTCTGTAACCTGAAGCATCTGTAACCTGAAGTGTATGTAACCCAAGGTACCACTGTATGCATCGGGGGATTGTTGCCCCCAAGTGAGAGGGCACAGGTGCCACAGGCATGCCCCATATAAGGAGATATGGATCCATCAATTCAGATATCTGCACTGGGGTTGTGTACGAACAGGCTAAACAGATCGCTATGGGTCGCTATACCCACACTTTTACTCGCCCTCTTTACTTTTTGAATGAACCTTTGTATGAGGGGGAGAGTCGGGAGGAGCCCATTGGCCCTGCCCACTTGCTCACACCACTGCCCCTATTCCAGAAGCTCCCCACAACTTGAGGGATGAACTTCTGCATTCGAACACCTGTTGCAGGCTCCCCATGCGACTCAGAACTTTGACCTTCCAGTGCCAGTCTCCTGCTTGGCTGCAGCACAGTGAGCTGCTATCTTAAGAACCAGTTGGCTTTGTATTTCACAGTCAGTGATCAGAGGACACTGTGGGGTTGTCATTCCATGTCTTACCATCTCATGGCAGACACTTAAAAAGAAGGAATTGTACCACCACTATTCTACTGCCCAATCAGAAGGGCAGAAGGTGTTCGTTCATCCTGTGGATTTGCAAAAGATTTATAGGAAGGGCTGTGAGCATCTGATTTGCATTCAGAAGATCCTGGGTTCCATCCCTGGCATTTTCAGGTAGGGGTGGAATTGTGGCAATTCGCTGCCAGTCTGTGTAGATCCTACTGAACTTGATGGACCCAATGGTCTGACTCAGTTTAGGGCAGCTTCCTATGTTCCTGTCACTTCTGTTTCCTGCTGAAAGGGTTCTGCATCCTGTCACTTTCACAGAGAAAGATTGCTGGCTGCGGATTTCTTTTGTTTTCTCTCAAACTTGCCTTCCATCTTCACAGATATCAAGATCAATTTGTTCTTGTACGAAACACGCTAAACCAGTTAAGCAAAGTGAACAGAATGTTCCTCATGCAAACAAATGAAGTGTGAGCACTACTTTTAGATATTGATTCCTCACATCATTGTACTTTTTTGTGCAACTTTTTACCCAGTTGCCATGCAAAATATCTGTCAGTCACACAGGCGCCCTTCTTTCATTAAACTTCATGAGCTCAGACAGAGCTACTGGAGGCCAGGCAGCTTGGCTGTTGCCATGCGGTTTTCAAACAGAGCTAGAATGATGTGCGATGCTTTAGCCTGAGTCACATGGACCCATGGGAACAGATATATGATTTCCATACAACACCCCTGTGAAATATCCTACGCCAGTCTTCAACATGGTGCTCTCCTGGGACCATATTCAACTAACTAGTTGCAGTAGCAAATGGTAGAGCAATGATTCCCACCAACATAACAATCCCCCCTCTGATCTCACAGCACACCTCTGTGCACTCCCAAATATGCTCTGGAAGATCGGGAGATCCTTCAGAACAGCACATGGGGAGAGGAGAGGGGAGATAATTACATCAGACAAGCAAACATGCTTGTGCCGATGGAACGATCTCCTTATCATTACTTTGAATACAACCCCTGAACTGCAATTCTCATCAGCTCAATGAGCATGGCCAATAGCCTGGGATGATCGCATAAACATATGGAGGGCATCAGGTTGGGAACTGTTGTTCTATGTCATTACATAGTAGCAATCCCATATCAAAATGTGTGGCAGCAGCCACAGTACCTAAAAGTTTAAAAACCAGCATATTAGCTTCAGTTAGCCTCCAAACCCCCTTATAATTGTAAATGTGTGAAGTGTTACACATGGGGATCTGCTTGCCCCAAACACCTGTCCGGAACCTTGCAAAGATCTTTTGCTCACCAGCCACCAAGCACCATTGACCATCCTACTAACTATGACTAGACTGTGGATGTGGGTGGAGGGGAGATACACAGGGATATCTGAGAAAATGCAGATCTTGAAGCCGCTAAAGAAATGGCACACTACTACCAGTGAGGTAGGTAATACTGCTGAATACGTATATTGTTCTCTCCATGCGTGTGTGTGCTGTTTCCCTGTGGACGAGGCTCACCTGATGTTCCAGATGTGTGCAGACGTTGCATTCTAGAATCCACTTCCTCTTCTCAGCTGGGATGAACAGCTATGTATAAAAAGATGCATCGCCATATATGCTTTTAGGACCAGGTGTGTTATTTTGGCTCTTTGGGAGCAAAGGATGAAACGTTTCAGTAAGGAGATGCTGAGACAGGTAATCATGTTGAGACGGGTAATCACATCCTGATTGTTTGTGCTGTGGAGGCAGATAAGTGCCCTGGAAATGCATCCTTTGTTGCTTAATAATCCCAGCCTGTGTGCTTTAAAGCTGCATCTGCTGTGGGTGGGGAAATAGCCTTATGACTTAAAAAGCCAATCGTTGAGGTTGAGAAATATGCAGTATTTCAGGATCTG